TGCTGTATTGTTGTGCTGGGTATTAGATAAAATTGTTTCTTGTGTAATGGCAACTGGCAGCAATAATTGAAACACCTCGTGTTGTCGTATGCTTTTGCCGCAGCGGCAACCCAATCTTCTTTTGCTCTAGACCAGGGATATCAAACATGCGGCCCGCGGGCTGAAACTAGCCCGGCCTGGGATTTCAATCTGGCTTTTTTTCTTTTTTTTTTTTTTTTACTGTTTACCGGGTTTTTTTTTACCACCAGTTCCACAGAGTAGCAGTTAGCACGCATGCCAAGGAAGCAGAGAGCAGAGAGTCCTGGGTGCGATTCCCAGATGAACCACATGTTTGATTGTTGATCCCCCAAGTCTCAGTAACAATGTGCTTCAATTTATCATTAATTCTACAAGCAAACTTAAAATATTTATAGATATATCTGTGGGATGTTTATCTGGACCACTGTTTTGATCCGAGTATACGAGCATGCAAACACGGGGAGGCGAACTCACACTGTATATTTATGAAAGTAAATACAACTCCGCTCCAGTGGGTGACAATTTTCCCCACTTTCAACCTCTTCGTTAATTCTCTACTCGGAATATTTTGGTGTGCTCTGTAAATTATGAATGTTCTTTATAATTATTGGGGGGTATTCAAGTTTGCTTCTCGCGGTGTACCCAAATCTTCCTTCAGCTTTCTGCTGCTAAGTGCAGGAGGTGAGACAGTGGTCTTTATCTAATCTAAGTAAATACAGCCAAAAGGCAAGAACAGAAAGTCATTTTCTGAAAAACAGAACAGCAAATACACAAATAATGTCACAAACATATGACTGGGAAAAGGGGGAATCTGCACAACGTCTAAGTGGACAGTGGAGAAGAGTAGGAAACAGGCAAGACTCAAACTCACTTCCCGCAGACAATTAGAGTCGGGATCAACAAGTAATGTCGTTAGCAAGGAAAGACACTTAGCGGGTAACAGCTTGTAAAACAGGTCACAAGGTCATTATCGGGGAAATGCCAGCTCTGGGTGGAGATTCACCCTTAACGCAATGTATTGAAGGCTGTGAAAACTGTTTACTCAGTTATGTCAGAAGTGCTGACAACCAATGATCCGTATGTGGAGATCCCTAATTTCACGTACAATTCTAAGATAATACAGAGTCGTGTTGCTTCGGATAAAGAAAAGATTAGCATGGACCCTGCGCAAGGATGACATGAAAATTCATGAAGCGTTCATCGTTGTATTTCAGTGGATCCTATTAGCAGTTGGAGCACCTGCCTACGAATCTAGGAGCTGATAGTCCTGAGTTCGATTCCCAGAATTTCCCCAGTGTGGGATCAATAAAGTTCAAATTATAATTATTATAGGAGAATACATGTTTTTTTAACGATGTCCGATAATTTTGGCCAACCGATTTTATCGGCCGATATTAGCATAATTATGTAATATATATTAGAAACGTTATCGACTTTTCGTCCGATAATGCAAACGTAATAACACAATGCTTGGGTTTTGCCCAGATGGTGTTACGTAAAAAAAAAAATTATCGTCACAGCACACAGCTGCATATATCGGTGTCGATTGATATCGTAAATTAATAGTGTTTGGATAATATTGACATATCAGTTAATATCAAAAAGTTAATATCGGAATATCGATAATATTTGTGTTAACTACCACGAATAATGTTTAGCTATCGTGATAATGATAGAAAAAGAATACTTATTAATTTATTTGGAATTATCCACATTTTCTTCAAACTAAATCCTACCGTTTATACCTTTTCCACATGGAAAGTTTTGCCTGTCTGCCCATTCTTCTGTTAACCATTACCTTCTGTTGTCTTAAAACTGCCTGAACATCCCCCCCCGCCCCCACATTACCTAAGTGTTGTCATGGCGACAATAAGGAGTTTTGTATTGTTTTAAATATTGGTACAGTGAAGCTATTACGTTCTATTAGTCTACAGTTCGTTCGCATTGATCTATTGCAGCCATTTCGACAGGGAGATCGTGTTTTTTTTTCTGCGATAAACATCTAGAACATAATGAGTCGTTATACCTTGTCAACTTCCCTTCCACTCCTGAAGAGAGCAGCTGAATGCTTGTTTGTTGTTGTTTTTTTGTGATTAAGGCACTCAGTCATTTCCAGGCACTACAGTATTTCTACCTAGAGTACTGTTGAAATTCTTCAAACATGTTTGGCCATGATATTTAATAAAAATAAAAAAACAACTTGAGTAGAGTAGAGAAATGAGTAGAGGCACTGCAGGAAAAAAAAATTTCAAACTGTGTGAAGTGAACAGCAACACAGGGCAACCACAGATTGACATACTGCATCAAAGTCCCTGAATTGATCTTATCAATAATATCAATATTGGGACATGATGTCTGTCTATGTTCCATTGTGCACACTTCAGTCTGGACAGTCACATCTCTCACGCAAAATGAACTAAGCCGAGAGTGGCGGCACATTACCCAGCTTGCAACAATCCAGATCGCTTTCCCTGGCAACCAC